CTACAAGGCTTCTAGGGGAAAGATACTCAAAGATTTAGAAGTGTTGCTGCTGTGATCATCATTTTATAAGAGGCAGGGTAATGATGATTAACATTGCTGCAATATTTGGGGGGAAACTATGGACTTCGTGACCTTCCAATGGTGAAAAAACTGCCCTTTGAAAAAGTGAACAGCAATAGCCAACACGTTATTTATGTATAAACACGCCAATTTATTGCACACATTGAGGGCAGCATTGACGTTATTTTACATTTATATCTTTTGAGACTATTGGGACAACACTTAACAAATCCTCACTAAGAAGAACACTGTCCTACAGTGGACGAACTAACCACTTGGTTAATGACTTGTGGATGTTTTTCAACACGCAGAACCTCCGCTGGATGGCTCCTGAGGTATTCACGCAGTGTACACGCTACACCATCAAAGCTGATGTCTTCAGCTACGCTCTCTGTCTGTGGGAACTTCTCACTGGCGAAATCCCATTTGCTCATCTCAAGCCAGGTAAGCCACGCTGCATCAAAGTTTCTTTGCTCTCCTTAGTTCTCTGCATTTCTACAACTTCAAGAAACATTTTTTCCCCTAAAATGATTATTCTCAGTGGGTTGGCAAAGTGAGAGGTAAATAAACAATCTCCAATTGTTTTCAAGTATGTGCCCAATCCAGAAAATGTAATGACCTAATTCTGTGATTTGAGACACAGGCATACCAAAGTGAAAGCATATTTTACTAAAGCTTAGGGCATCTTTGATTTATCTGTTGTTAATAAAACAAGCGAATGACTATGGCCATGTGACATGTGGGTGCAAATAATGTGGACAATACAATATTTACCTTTTGAGATTAATTAATTTCACAAGTGCCCTTTTAGTGTGTATAGAGAGGTGAGCTGAAAGTAGCAACACGTAAAAATAACCTAGCAAGACTGCTTTCTGCTTGCCTCACATTATACAAAATAAAATTACTTTCCCTAATAATTTTGTGTTACATACATTCCAAAAAAAGGGCTTTGTGAGTGAACCTAATGTTGTTGATAATATACATTATACTCTGTGTGCATATGGATGGTGGAGGTAGGGAGTTTAATCACAGGAACAATGTACACCTATTTGAGAGTTAAGGTAAATTTTATTTGTATCTGTCTCTCTATTTTACTTGGGTTGCTTTTGTGTCTTGGCACGCTGTTTTCTTACTTGTATCAACCATTAGCCTGGCAACTCCTTATGGACTTTGCATCTCCAAAACGGAACATCCATGAAAAGTAGTTTTCAAATTAAGTCATAAATAATTAAAAAAAAATAAATTATAGTGTTAGGTCCTTGTGGCCACCCTATCACAATATATCAGAAGGGTAAAGTCAAAAGGGACCTTAGGGAAAGACAAATCTTACAAACGTGTATACTCATAAGTTAAAAGTATTAACCAGGATCATAATGATTGTTAGTAGTCATGTAGAGAGCAAAAGCCTCACTTCAGACTCTCTTTTCAAGGCATCTTCCCCCCTAATCTTTTAATTACATTCTGCATATTGCTTTTCACAAATCCTATGCTCTATAAGTAGTTATCAAGTACAACAATCGTTCAGTTGTCCTAATCTCTCTATGTATACTTTCCATAGTTCTATATGATGAGATTTAGCCCATGTTAGAGTGTGGATGTGAGAAATCTGTTTTGAACTGGACCAATGTTGCTATTTGTAATGTCTTGCTCTGATGTGCTGCTGCCTCCTTACCCCTTAGGATTTTCATTCTGATAAAAATCAATTGATTAATTGATTAATATATTTTTAAAATCCAGTATAATTCTAGACTTATGGTGGTATTTTTCACAAGAGAGTGACCCACCTTTTCCCTCACCTCCTGGGTCTACCTTTTGCCACTTGCAGCCTCTCCTGTGTGTTCCAGCCATAGGGAACTATTTTATTTCCCCATTGTGACACATTTCTTCTCACTTCCGTGCCTTTGCAAATGTTAGTCATTTGTCAGAGACACTCTTCCCTACTTTTCATCATACTAAAACCAATTTACTTTTAGATCTTATCTTAAACATTACTTCTTCCAAAAACATCTTCCTTCATTCACCAATATTGAATTAAGCTCAGTCTCCTCCATGCCTTAAGTCATCATTTATCATAGTATTTATTATATTTTATTCATACAGCTTTGCTGTTTTCTCTACTCTGTTATACATTTCTAATTATAAAATGAATATTGCAAAGAGATAAAGATCCTCTCTCTTAAGGACCCCCAGAAACATTTACTCTTTTTGGAGGGAGAATATTATATAATAGAATAGCTAAAAGTCTTGCCTCAGAATAGCTTGATTCCAATATTCCATATATTATAATTTATAGTACTTTATTGGACAGAGAGTTTGTTTATGATAGATGCTGAATTTTTTAAAGTTGGACAGTGACCATGCATCAAGAAACGAGACTGTTAATATCATTGCAGTGGTTAGGCAACCCAGCATATGTTTAGCAATAAATTATGTGAAGCATCAGATTCAGTCTACGCTACATATTAGCCATTTACAGTGAGGAACAAATCCATGACTACCGTGTGGGACAGCATTATCCATTATGGTAACTGCAACATTACACATGGCTCATCCTTCTGGATTTAGCAGACTCCTATCTCCTGGGAGAAATATAAAATTAGAGCACAGATATTAGCACTGACTTCTATGCAACTGATGGGTTGGCATTCAGAAGAAGTTGGGGTCGCTTTTACATAATATGCATCCAAATAGCCTCCTAATTTCAGGTTGTGAAGGAACTGAAAAGGCCATCGCATCCAGCATCCCAAGGGCCACGAGATGAAATGCCCACAGGGCCAGCAGATGCAGGAAAATGTTCTACAGAGGACAGTGTGATCAATGGGCACTCACTTGCTCTGACTCAAGGGAACAGCTGCTACCCAGCTCCAGCCAAACAGTGCCATGCAGGAACATAACGATGCCTGCTCACTGTTACCATGTCAACTAATATCCATGTGTTTGTTTAATATAAAGAGCTTTAAATGTTGGCATGAACTCAGTTCTTAAGGAAACCTTTTTTTTCAGGCTAACACTGTGTGGGATAAAGAGAAGTGGCATAATGTGCAAGGGCAGGAGTCTTGCCACCTTACACAAGCCGCTTAACCAAGCTATACTTTAGTGTTTCAGCTTCTGTCTTTTTAAAATGGGGGTAATAATAAGACCTACCTCAAAGGGCTGGAATGGTGGCTGCCATTAGTAAGCACCCCATAAATAAACATCAGCCCTTATTATTCTCGTTAGGCCGTCATTAAGTGCTCCTGGGGCCAGGAACGGAAAACAAAGAGCAGTAGGGCGTTGCCCAGAACTTCAGAGTGCAGAGAGGGCGCGAGAAAAGTACAGTCAGCAGAGTAAGTCCCAACTCGATAGAAGCACAGAGGGCTTAGGATGCTCTTGGGGAGCGTTTCCTGCCTAGACAGGTGGTAGGAAAAGGACATCAGGAAAGGATCTNGTGTAAAGGGCCAGGAATGAAAAATATGAATAAAAGCTTATTTCTCCATCTCAAAGAGCTCATTTCCTAGTGAGAAAAACGTTGTAATAAGGAGATAGTTAAATTTAAAGCAGTGTGGCGGTTCAGGGATAAGATGTGACAAAGCACCCTGGGAGCTCAGGTGGAATGAGTAGAAGTAAATCAGACATGGGAAAAACATGAGAGGGCGCCAGGCAGTGAACAACAGCATGAGCAAAGACACAGGGGAGGAGGAGGAATACCAGACTTCCTGGGGGAACTTCAAACAGCTTATATTATCAGCATGTACGGTGTGAGGAAGAAAAAGTGAGAGATGAGTTAGAGAGGAAGGCAGGAACTACATCAAGGACCACATTATATCCAAGTAGGATTGTACATACTGGTTGCCCCAGTAAAATTTCACTCATTCATTCAACAAGTATTCATGGAATACCAGGCATTCTTTCAGGAATGGGGGATATTGCAGTGAACAAAATAAAGCTCTTGCTTTTATGGAGCTAATATTATTCTAGAAGGAGATAGACCCTGAACAAATTAACAAAATATATATATATCAGGCAGTGATATGTGTTGTGAAAAAAAAAAAAAACCAAAGCAGAGTATATGAATGGAGAGTGATGGGGGTGCCATTTAGTTAGGATGAGAAAGAAAGATAACATTTGGTAAGAGACCTGATGTGGGAGTCATCTATGTGGGGGAAAGAGAAGTGTAGACGGGGGAACAGCAAGTGCAAAGGCCCTGAGGCAGGGGAGGTTTTTGTGTGTGCAAGGCCAGAGCGACTGGAGTAGAGTAAGCAAAGAGGAGAATGATAGGATATGAGGTAAAGGAGGTGGGAAGAGTGTGTCCTCTTTTGACAGAAAGCACACACCTCATCTAGTACCAGGGACATAGAGATAGCTGAATCAATGGTTCTCAACCCTTGTTGCACATTTAAATCACTTTGAAAACTTTTTAAATGCATACTGCCTAAATCCAGTTCCCAGAAATTCTGTTTTCATTGGCCTAGGATTGATTTGGGGTGCCTGTATCTTTAAAAAGTTTCCCCAGGTGATCCTAAAATGCAGCCAGATGACACTCTGTGACTAAACAAACTTTCGTTAAATGGAATTGAATTGAATTCCACCAACAGCAAAGTTACAGCCTTTGTGGTGGCAGTAGTCTTTAAGCACAGCACTGTATTAGATTTCTTTTGAAGGCTATTTTGTTCCTGACAGTTCTATGATTCTTATGTAAATTTGCTAATTACTCTATTACCCCCCTGTGAAAAATCGGTCATACTGTATGCCTACTCCCACTTATGCAGTGTTGTGACACAACACATAATCTGCTGTATAAATGAAGGCTATTTGGAATGTGAAAGCTCATATGGAAGAACTGCATGTGAGCACCATAATCGGAATAAAGATATTCTTGGAAAGCTCTAATTATGCATGATTTCAGAATAAGGTAGACACTTCAAAAGAACTATCAGCAGCCAGCACTACACACAGAATTTCAGTTCAGAGTAATAAAAAACTGCTGGTTTCCTTCAGTGGAAATACAAAAAAAGACAGTGTTTGGCAAAGTCCATTGATATGATTATGGAGCCATGGGTT